ATTTCTTTGGCCATCGTCCGTCCGGTTTGGATGTTTGGGTGCATGGTTTCTGGTCTTGGTTATGGGCTTTTTCTTTTTCTTGTATCTTTCCACTCGTTCTGTACCTTTTTCTTCTGCCGTGGAGGTTAACTCGTTCGCTGTGTTCCTCTGATTTGGATGTCCGTTTTGTTTCTCTGGTCGCCGGATAACTCCGTTACCGTGGAGGATACTTCCGTTATCGGCTTTAGTAGTCTGAGGTAAACATAGGAATTAAATCTATAATAATAAGAGAAAATAACTTGAGTAACCGAATTTTTTTTATAATATATGATTTTAACTAATATTTTTTGGGTTTGCAAACAAATTCCCAATTCAATTTCAAATTCTTAACACGAAAGCCAAATTCGCAACACAATTTTCGAATTCGCAACAAGAATTTACATTTCGCAACACGAATTTGCCAAATTCGTAACTCAGTTTTCAAATTCGCAACTCGAATTCGGATTTCGCAACTCGAATTCTCCAATTTCACAACTCGAATTCTCCAATTTCGCAACTCAATTTTACCGAGTTTACTTATATAGGTAATTCCCATCTCAAGATACCAAACACTACATCAATATCAAGTCTTTGGACATTAATATTAACAATAAATGGTACTCTTGGTGTAGTAATCAAACAATAACAACAAGTTATGTCCAACAATAGACTAATCTTTGGACTAATGTAATAATCACATAAAGTACTTTATAATTGTCACATATCCATAGGTGTTATTTGAAATCCAACCAAATATTAACTTTCCTTCGGGTCCATTAATAAATGTATGAATTACAAGAAGCACATAATCATCTTGATATTTTATATAAATCAATATACACAAAAGAGGTTACTTTCGCAACATTATGTTTTAAGTAATCTATCAAAATATCAGACTTAGCCATAATATGAATTAATCAAATGTGAATGTGAGTTTTTTTTTATTTTACTTTAATTCAAGGGTTCCACCATTTCAAGAGAATATATATTTTGAAACAAATTAATTCATATTATGGTTAAGTTTGATATTTTGATAGATTACTTGAAACATAATGTTGCGAAAGTAACCTCTTTTGTGTATACTGATTTATATAAAATATCAAGATGATTATGTGTTTCTTGTGATTCATACATTTATTAATAGACCCAAATGAAAGTTAATATTTGGTCGGATTTCAAATAACACCTATGGATATGTGACAATTATAAAGTACTTTATGTGAGCATTACATTAGATATATTAATATCTAAAGACTTGATATTGATGTAGTGTTTAGTATCTTGAGATGGGAATTACCTATATAGGTAAACGCGGTAAAATTGAGTTGCGAAATTGACGAATTCGAGTTGCGAAATTGGCGAATTCAAGTTGCGAAATCCGAATTTGAATTGCGAATTTAAAAACTGAGTTGCGAATTTGGCAAATTCGTATTGCGAAATGAAATTCTTGTTGTGAATTCGAAAACTATGTTGCGAATTTGAAATTGAGTTGCGAATTCGTTGGTTATTTTTGCAAACTCAAAAAATTGGTTAAAATCATATATTATAAGGCATTTTCGGTCACTCAAGTTATTTTCTCTAATAATAAATATCAAAAAAATATTGAATTGTAAAAACAAGCAATTATATGTCAAACTCAACAAGTGTGAGTTTAACTATTTGAGGTCTCATTCTAGGACATGTTATCTCTTCGGCAGGAATCCAAGTAGATCCTAAGAAGATTCAAGCTATTACCGGGTGAAAACCTCAAAAAAAAATTGTGTTAGTTTGAATTTTGTTTAACTTAGAAGGCTATTATAGGAGATTTGTAAAAGGATTCTTCATAATAACAGCTCACCTCTCTCAGTTGCTCTGTAAAGGTAAGTCGTTTATTGGGTCTTCCAAACAATATGAGAATTTTGATCGACTCAAGTATATCTTGATTAATGCCTCTGTCCTAACTCAACTAGAATCGGATAAGGATTATATGGTAGTAATGCAATAAAGCGAATTGATACCTTATGTATCTTATCATTAAATCCTCATGAGTTGAATTATCTAATGAACGAATTAGAGCTTGTAGTGGTCGTGTTTGCTCTAAATATTTGGGACACTATTTATACGGTAAGAGATGTCGTCTGTTCACATACCATAATAGCCTCGAGTACATCATGATCCAAAAAAAGTTAGAACCTTCGACATAGACGTTGAATAAATCTTTTGAAAGATTATGATATAATGATCGATTATCATATTAGAAAGACTAATGTGACTGAGGCACTCCGTCGAAAATCTCTTAATAATAAGTATCAAATCTTTATTGTTACCCAAATTCTATCGTATATCGTATTCAATGACTAGTTTAAAATCTTTATTGTAGCCTTACAGCTATGAATGCTCATATGAGTGTTCAGAGAAATGAACGTCTATTAGTTGAGCTTAATGTTCCTTCCACTTTCCTTACAATAATCATGGAACTTTAAGCCTAGATATAGCAATCTCTTTACCATTCGCAATCCAATTAGTGATTCTCCTAATTTTGATTTTTCTATTTGCTCTAATGGGTTTCTTCGTTTCTGTAGACGTATTTACGTACCTGATAGTTCTCAGTTAAGAAACGGTATTCTTAGTGAATCTCATTGTAGTTTTTTCTCTATTCATTTCAGATCTTTACAGTATCAGAACCTTCGAGAACTTTATTGATGGCATGGCATTAAAAATACCGTTATCTAATTTCTTGGGAGATGTTTGATGTGTCATCAAGCCAAGGCTAAACATTGTGTTCCTACTAATCTTCTACAACCTATTGAATTACCTTAATAAAAGTGGAAAAAGATTACAGTGTGACCGGATTACCCTTATCTCCGAGAAAACATGATTCCATATAGGTGTTGATATATTCTCCAAGTCAACTCACTACATTCTTATTCGGACCAACTTCAATTTACCCAGACTTATCGATCTGTATATCTGAAAGGTAGTGCAACTTCATAAAGCCCATGTCTCTATTATTTTCGAATTAGACCCCCACTTCGCATCTCGTTTCTGAAGATCTTTACAAAAAACTTTGGGTACTCAAGTTCATCTTATTACAACTTTTCATCCACAGACGAATGAAAAATCTAAAAGGGTCACTCAGTGACACTGGAGGATATGCTTGTGCTTGTGTGATTGATTTTGAGAACAGTTGAGATAGATCGCTATCATTGATCGAGTTCGCTTATAATAATAATTATTAATCTTATATCTAGATGTCACTGTTTGAGGTCTTGTATGGTCGTAAATGTTATACTCGTTTGTGTTGGTCTGAGTTAGGAGAGAGTACATCGTTGGGGTTCGAGATGATTTATGAAACGGAACATAAAATTGTTCTGATTCATGATCATTTGAAAGCTTCTTTTGGAACATAAAATTGTTCTGATTCATGATCATTTGAAAGCTTCTTTTGATAGACAGAAGTCCTACACAAATTTGAAGTGTAGAGACATTGAATATTATATTGGTGTAAAAGTCTTTTTTAAAGTTTCTTTGTATAAAAAGTTTCTCTAATTTAACTGTAAACAAAAATCGAATCCGAGATTTATTGGCCCTTATGAGGTGATGGAGAGGAATGGTTAATACAGCTCAAAACATCTATAGATAGCAAATAGGTTAACAAAGAAGAGACAAATGAATGGTTGCAACAATTGGAAATAAAATTTAAAAAAAGGCACAATTATTGAATTGTCTACTTATAGTAGAAACTAAATAAGGATAATACAAAGCCTCTGCTGAGAACAAGCAAAGCAATGAATAACCCTGTTGGGGAGAATTATGAGTAAAACAAAGCAACCAAGATGAAGGTGAATATACACTTTTGCATTTATACCATAAAAATAAAGTTATTGTTCCAAGCATTTGTCCATGTTTCTAAAGCAACCACCTAATTAGCATCCAAAGAAAAAAGCTTAAGAAGTAACATGAGAGGTTTTAAAACATGTGCTGCATCAGCAGATAGGTTCCCTCCAGCTTGTCTTCAGTAGCATTGCCGCCGTACAAGTCCTTCAACATAATAGAAGACGAGAAAGACCATTGAATCCATTATTGGCCTTTAAAAAAATCAGACTAATTAATGAAGCATTTTCAACTTAATTAATCTTGGTCAGAAGCTTTCCATGCTCGTAATCTAAAACCTCAATTCTTTCCTGAGTTATATGATCTAAGGTTCTGTTATCTAAAACCCTCATTTCTTTCCCAAGTTGTATTATTATGGTTTAATTTTAAAAGAAGTATTTTAGGCTAGATTTCTAGAATTTAGAACATTTTCTTTTAATAAAATATACATTAAATTCATATTTAGAAGGCTAAAAGTTTAAATTAGAAAATTTAAGTTCTAACGATCATCAACGACGGTAGCCGATAGTGGCTAACAATGACCGAAAATAGTGGTGAGCAATAGTCGGTGGAGGGAGACTTTGGTCGAATTCATTTGATATTTTATCTAAAGTTTAAAAGCCAAATTGATAATTTATCTAAAGTTTAGTGGTCAAAGTAAAAAATAATCTATTTTACTAACTTATCACATCATAAACTAATCTCATCAAAATATTATAAATCAATAACGTTATAAATATGTAGTATAATAAAATGTTACTTTTTAAAAAATTTGTGACAAAAAGTGAACACTTGTGAAATCAAAGTGACCATTTCGATAGTTTATCCTATAAAATTCCACTAAAATAAATATCTTATTTCTGACAGGAACATCATCCCATGCTGGTTCCCTTGACCTTTGTGTTGATTCCTGGAATTATTCCCACAACCTTCTGGCCTGTGGCTTTTATTGTATTTACGAAATTGCCTGGAAACTGCTTAGATGGCTTTTGTTGACACTAGTTTTTTTTTTTTGAAAAAAAAAAGAGTAATAATAATTGCTCCTGATTGCTTTTATAGCAAAAATGAAAACATTGATTTCCAAAACGTTCGAATAAATAAAAAGTGATTATCATGGTGTTGGATGTTAAGCCAAAATCCAATTAAATAAGCATTGCCGATAAACAAATGAAGTAATAATAATAGTCTCAAAACAAAACTTCCCAACATAGGGATATCACATGAACCTCAAAGGGCTGAGTGAATGAAATATCCTCCACCAAGTAAACCAAGGGTATATACAAACCGATAATTTTATCCAACTCTTCCATCATTCTCGCAAGGAAACATTTTAGCTGGATTAAAAGTCGTTGATAGTTCAATCGAACCCATTGTCAGGAGTCACCGGTAATACCTCCCGACTAGCCTTTACAAGAACATGCATTGGAAGTTGTTTGAACAATCACCCGCTTTCTCTTATACAATTTCCAGGCAGAAGGAATTTATACTTATCTGCACTCTCGAGAAGAAATGATGGGAGATGAACGGCAGAGTAGGAATGCGGGATAGGTCCCATTTTCCCGATTATTTCCTTGAACGTGTACTCCTCCGGAAGCATGTCGAATAGATCAGCTCCTTTGCAGATTACTCTCTGGATCCTTTTTGGGTTCAAATAGTGTGAGAACCTCACTCTATCGTTATGGCTGTAAGCTTTCATCTTAAATATGAACTCGCTGATGCGGCGGAAGCAGAAACTGCAATGCCACCCTGCATCTGCCAGAATCTCATCACTCTGGCGATAATGTGCATACCTTGTTTTCCCCTTTTGATATCTATGGACCGATGCCCTCCAGCTATTGTTATCGACAAGAAACTCAAAGGAATAAAGATAATTCTTAAGCCGAAGATGAAGCACTTGAGGTATGTCATCACACCACCTGAGAAGGTTGATAGTATGTCTGCTTGGTATCTCGTCAACATCCGACATTATCAACAAATCGTCATCCGAAATCCCAGCAATTTTGAGAAGCTGGTCTAATGCTACTCGCTGCAAAGCCTCCTCGACAAACGGATTTTCCCCTTTCTTAAACCTTCCTCCAATTGTCCCATAAGTCAGCCGAGGCTCAACAAACTTGAATTTGTCTTTGTTGCTAGCAAAAACCATAGGCTTTGGAATCCCCGTAAATGTCGAATTAGACTCCAGAAGAACAAACTGTGTAATGTAGGGGTACAACTCTTGCCACCGTAGAGTAAGAATATCCACCTCATTACTAAACAACACTGCATCATAAACCCGTCTCGGAAATTCACGAACCCCCCAACCGTGGAGTTTGCAGAGTGTCTCCATCGACACGTTCTCATGATAGTAATGTGGTATATCATGGAAAGGTTTGGGTGGTGATTCCCATAAAGGCCGGAGAAAGTATGAAATCTTCTGGCCATGAACATATATACCAAATATGCACGTCGGAATCAGAACAAACATAAGAATATAAATTTTGAAATCAATGCCACGAAGAATACAACGGATTCTCGACATGTTAAGCAGGCTTGATTCCTGTACCATACAGAAAATACCACATTAACACCAATCAAATTTACTAGGATATATGAATTCCAGTAAAATTTCAAACGAGGAAATCCAAACACATCAAGGACTAGTATAAAACTAGAATGAGAAATTTAGAAAAAGTATAGGAATATAAGCCCCTTAATGGCCTTTTAGATTCTTGGGAAAGTATGATACATAGAAGTTAAAACGGTTCATATATATACATATATATAACAATTAATTAAAAAGCAATAGATTCCATTCAAACTATCAATCTAGTACCTTAAAAGCAAGCTAAAAGCAAATTTAAAATTTTTTTTGGCTTTTTTTATACTTTTGGTATCTATATTTTTTAGGATTTTGATAATGGAAGCTAAATTGTATGAAATTCTTCATAACCTACAAAAATCAACAAAGTATTTAACTGAACAGTTTAAAATCGATAACAGATCAACAGGCAAACTCACAATCCCCAAATCAAAAGTAAAGACCTAGCAGATAACTTATGGATAACAAAATTTACTAAAGATCCAATAATCTTTAACCCCATTTGACTCCTCTCACATTCCCACAATAGATTTTAACATCCAAAACCCTAAACATAATTTTAAAAGAGAGAGAGATCAAAGGAGTAAAGTACCTGGCCACACACATCTCCAAAGATATCATCAGATTTCTTAGAACAATACTGTCCTCCTCCTTCATTCATCATCCACCACATTTTTTTAACAGAATGAAAGAAGAACAAAATCAACAAAGAGAAATCTTTTTAGGTGAAAGCTGAAGAACCCAGATAGATCAACTACCAGAAAAGTAACTCTCTAGATCTCCGGCTCTCCAACTTTTCCCCTCTGACAGTTACCTATAATCTCTCTATCTCTCTTTAAAAGGGTAATCCCAAAAGGTCCAAGAAGAAAGACACTGAATTCTAAATTGGATAAAAATAAACAGACATATGGAGCTTAAATAGTTAGATTATACGACAATACAATTATAAAATATTAATGAAGAAATGGGTGTCTATCTGTGAATGGGTGGCACTCAATAAACCCAATAGAAGAAGGTGAAAAAAATTACATCTTTGGGTGATAATAGCCGTTTCTCTTGTCGTCTACTCCAGCTCTACTTTCCCCGAGACGAGGCGGACTGATATACAATTAATATATAGTATTATTAGATATATTAAAAGATATTTGATAAATTTAATTTAGCGTTATTAGAATTATCGAGTAATAATAATGTAATAGGTGAAAATCATGAAGAAAAATTAAAAAATTTGACAACTGGCAAACTTAGCTTGTCGGTTTGTGTCGATACTTTATAAAAATATATTGATCCATAACAATATAACAAGTAAAAAAATGACAAAACCAGTCTATAAATGACAAAACAGGTAAAGCGCTACCGAATATATTGAAAGTGTCGATACTTTATAAAAATGTATCTATCCATAACAATATAACAGGTAAAAAAATGACAAAATCGGTCTATAAATGACAAAACAGGTAAAGTGCTACCGGATATATTGAAAGTGTCGATACTTTATAAAAATGTATAGATCCATAACAATATAACATGTAAAAAAATGACAAAACCGGTCTATAAATGACAAAACAGGTAAAGCGCTACCGGATATATTGAAAGTGTCAATACTTTATAAAAATGTATCGATCCATAACAATATAACAGGTAAAAAAATAACAAAACGGTCTATAAATGACAAAACAGGTAAAGCGCTACCGGATATGATGATAGTGTCGATACTTTATAAAAATGTATCGATCCATAACAATAAAACAGGTAAAAAATGACAAAATCGGTCTATAAATGACAAAACAGGTAAAGCGCAATCGGATATGTTGATAGTGTCGATACTTTATTATAAGTATCGACACTTTTGGAATTTAAAAGAGAAGAAGTTATAGCGCTAATAAAATGTCGATACTTTATAAAATTGTATCGATCCATAACAATATAACATGTAAAAATATGACAAAACCGATCTCGAAATGATAAAATCGGTAAAGAGCTACCAGATATGTTGATAGTGTTGAAACTTTATTATAAGTATCGACACTTTTGGAATTTAAAAGAAAATAAGTTATAGCGCCAATAAAGTGTCTATACTTTATAAAAATGTATCGATCCATAACAATATAACAGGTAAAAATATGACAAAATCGATCTCGAAATGACAAAACCGGTAGTAAAATAGTGTGCTTGTGTGATCATTTTTATATCAGAATTTTTATTTTTTAATACAAAAAAGTTAGATATTTTAAGCAAAACCCAGTAAGAAAATAACAAAAACTTTGCGGTAACAAAAGAATAACATTGGGAAACCCACCATGTTATCAGTTTCTCAAAGAACAAAAACCCATAAACAAACATCTCTCAACGCAAACTTATGATATACTCTTATTATCTCTATAGGATAAAGTTAGGTCAGTTTTAGTTTCTTAAAGAATAAACTTATGATTGAATAACTCAAACTGGTGCACGCATAAGTGTCGATGCATTTATGAAAAGTATCGATTTAAAAAATATCGAAATCGATAATTATTATATAACAGGTAAATTTACAATGTAACCGGTAAAAATATACTGATTAATTAGCAAATAGGTTTACATTATGTATCAACACTCTTTAAATATGTGTCGATACTTTTTTCCCAAAATGAAAGCACAACGAGGTGCACGCATAAAGTGTCGATACATTTAAAATTGTATTAATCCCAAAAACATTAAAACCGATAATTATAATGTAATAGGTAAATTTACAATGTTACCGGTTTAAATATATCTGTTTAGTTAGAAAATAGGTCAATATAAACGCTACCTATTACATTATATAAGCGTTACCTAATATATTATTGTACTTGATAATATTTTCGATTAAATGATATAACATAACCGATCTAAATTTTAACCGATCACTTACTTAACATGTTACGCCGTTTTTTAAGCGTCGCACAACAGAATCACCGCTGCTTTTGCTTTAAATAAATTTTGTTTCTTATTTTCTGCGTTTACTAATTTGCCCTTAGAGATTTACTTCGTGGCTAAGACATGGGTGATATTGATACGGTGAGGGTAGTTTAGGGAATCAGAGGATTAAAAACAGGGGCTGTCGGACCGGGTTTCTTACGCGTTGGAAATTGGGGGAATTGACTGGTTCATATCGGCAACACAAAAACGTCTTCGGGTTTCTCTGTGGGGAGACGTGGTTCTTGCATCTTACTTTGAGCCGACTCTTTTCATGCACGCGCTTTTGTGCTTTTTTTGGACTTAAATGCAAGCTATTTTGTGATTAGGTCTTTACTGCACATGTTTTATATGGTCAGTTCTTTAATGTTATTAGGTTAAAAGATATAACTTTTTAAAAATTATTAGGTCTTCAATGCAAAAGTTCATGTTTTAAAATTATTATAGATGAATTTAATTGATGTATTTTGGGCTTATATAGAACTATGAATGGTAAAGTAAATATTAATATAAGTTGATAAGTTTTGTGTGCTTATTTCTTTTATGATATGTTTCATGAATATGTTATCTTAAGTTTTATATGAATATAATATGTATTATGTAAAAGCATGAAATAAATTAATTTGTATAAAATAAGATATGTTATGATAAGTTTTATGTGTTTATAGGATGTATATTAATTAAGCATGTAATAAATGAAACTCTCATGCTATGTGATATGTAAGAACGAAAACAAGATAAAATGTATTATGAAAACATGAATCAAAATAATATATGTTATGATAAGGAGCTAAGACTCACTTGATACGTAAAAATAAGAAATTATGCGTAAATGATATGATAAGCAATTGTTCTTGGAAGATAAGTTTAGTTTGGATACAAGTGACATGTCATAGATCATGGGCAGAGTCAGAAATTTTAAATTACGGTGTCATAATTTAAAATTTAAAACATTTAAATAAAGTTATATAAATTAATGTATAATATTAATATATGATAATTTAGCGTATAATATGGCTCAAATAAAGGTTTAAATGAATAGAACATTCAATCAATTGTTCATCGAATTGTTCGTATACATTCATTTATGTTCATTTATTAAACTAAATAAACTGTAGAGAAACACGTAAAAATGATAGTGAAAAGATATTCTTTTTGACTCATTTTTTTCAACATTACACTGACATGCTTATATAGTTATACTGTAACTGTCTATAAGTCTAGTTGGCAAGTCTAACAGCTTTAACAAAAGCTTTAACAACTTTTCAACCGCACAACAGTAGTACATTAGCCACCTACATCTTTAATATTCTCCCTGCTTTTTCCTTCTTCTTGGTCAAACGAGAACACTTGCACTTTGGGTCAAAATTGCTCAAACGAAGTTTTGGACAATGGTTTAGTAAACCCATCTGCAACTTGGTGACTAACTGGAACATAATTGATGAGCACTTGCTTAGCAACCACTTTTTCTCTCACAAAGTGCATGTCAAGATCCACGTGTTTAGCCTTTGCATGGTACACTTGATTGTTACTCATAGCAACAACACCACTATTATTACACCAAACAACAGGCACCCTAACTGTGCAATCCCCATATTCGAAAGAAGTGAACTTACCCAAGTCACCTCAGCTGCTGCATTAGCTACATTGCGATACTCCACCTCCATGGTGGATCTTGTGTAACATCCCAAACTACAGGTTAGTGACTAAATTGAAAATTTTCATAATTTGGTGATTAAAGTGGAAAAGTTGAATAGTTTAGTGACTTATTTGAAATTATTTCCTAAAGGGTTGTTAATAATTATTGAAGAAATTAAAGGGCAAAATGGTCATTTGATATGAAAGATTTTTGTTTTCCTTCCTCCACGTGAAAGCTCAAGCAAAAGGTAAGATTTCTTTGCTGTTGATTATTAGCTGAAATTTAAGTTGGGTTTTGATCGTTAGATGATAATTAAGCTTAAGGAAAGCTTAATTTGTCTTAAAATCAAAACATGAAGAAGTTATGAAAGATTAAAGAGAATGGGTTTTTAAGTGAATTTCCAGAAAAGAGTTGATAAGTTGAATTTGAAACTAAATTTGACTTGTCATCAACTTAATTAAGAGATATGAAGTGATAGAATTGGATTTAGAGCATCTTGAAAATTTGGTATGATTATTGATTTTCATATGAAAGATGGAATTTTGAGGTTAATGATGTATTGAATGAGTAGAAATTAGTTTAAGTATATGTACTTGAGTTAAGAATAGAAAAGGGAATGAAACATGAAGAATTTAAACTGAAAAGAATAAATTTTCGGGCTTAAAATATAATTTCTGGGCAAGGTGTATCAATACACATTCAATATGTATCGATACCCTCTTAAATGAAGAAATATCGATACACTTTAAAGGGAAAACGGAAATTGATCTTTTCCTTTAGTTTAGAAAATGGAAGATTAGAGTATATCAATTTAAATATTGATATGGATATATGTATTGTTATGTAGATATATAACGTAATCCCGATACAGAACAATTTAAGAATTAGGATCGAATCAAAGCAAGCAAGGCTAAGGTGAGTGCATATGCATAGCATGATTATATTAGTATATTCAGTTCTAGACTTGTGATAAGTTTAGATTTAATACTTTGATATATGATTCATTTCATATTATGAAACATGATATGAATTCATACCATATACATTATGTGACATGAATATGCAGGAAAAGTTATATGAGCTATATGATAAAGGTATGGAACTGATATGTCTATGAGATACACTAGATGATTCTTATGTGTGTATGAATACATGGAAACGGGTATATGTTATTATATGTGACATGATTTACATGCTTACATGTATATGTGATATGAGATTATGTGACAATAAGTTATATGATGTGAATGCTATAATAAGAAGCTATGTGATAAGAAGATATGAGTTTATGTGATATAAAAGTGTATATGTGAAATGTCATGATAGGTGATAAAAA